TTTTTTTTTTTAATTGAGAGAGAGAGAGAGAGAGAGAGAGAAAAAAAAAAAACAAAACAAAACTTATTGAAAATAAATCAAAAAAAAAAAAAATTTTTTTTTTTTTTTTTTTTTTTTCCCAGAGTTTTTTGCTGTTTGCAAGTGACAGAATTTTGAATAGCATAAATAAATAACGAAATATAAAAAAAAAAAAAAAATGAATAATAGCAAAAAAAAAAAAAAATGTCATTTAATGAAAAAAGATGATTTGGTCTGTTTTTTTTTTTTTTTTTAAAACCATTAAATTTTACTTAATAAAAAGGAATAACAATGTCAAAAACAAAAAAAAAAAAAATTTTTTTTTTAACCCCCGCAAAAAAAAAAAAAAAAAAAATTTTAATTTTTAAATTAAAAAAAAATGGCGCGAAATTAATAACGGTTTTAAAAACAACAAACGTTTAGAAAAAAAAAAAAAAATTTCTTTCTTTCTTTCTTTTATAATGGGTGGTTTTCATCGAAACATCCGGAAGGCATCGATTGTTTATTTTTATTTATTTTATTTTTTGCTATCCTTCACGGCAATTCAATTTCTTTTTTTCTTTTTCCTCTTTCTCCCACCCTCCCCTCCCCTCCCCTCTCCCTCCCACGCAACTAAATTTTTCCTTTTTCTTTTCTCTACCGACAGGCACTTTCCAAAAAAAATAAAAATAAAAAAAATTCTTTAAATTTAATTCCGATAAAAACCGTATACGTCACTTCCGGGCAACCGAAAAAAATTCAATTTACGAATTTTCCAAAATAAAAAAAAAAAAAAAAATTTTTTTAATGACGTCCCCCCTCGATTTAATAATAATAATTTTAATATTTCTATTGCATTATTTTTCCATCAAATTTTGTAAAACCTGAACGCCCGATCCTGAGCCTGACCAAGTCACATATTTACTTTTAATAATAATAATAATAATAATAATAATAACAAAAGATAAAAAATTATTATTATTATTATTACTTTTTAAAGACTGTAAATTATGTGCCTTTAAGGAAAAATAATAAATCCGGTCATCATTTACGCGTGAACTATAGCAAAAAGTGATAGAAATTCACACACGCAACAACAACAACAACAACTAATAATAATAATAATAATAATAATAATAATAATAATAATAATAATAATAATAATAATAATAATAACTGTTTATTTTACGTTTGTTAAAGAGTAGCAAAATTGATCATTACCGGTAGCAAAAAATTTAATATTTTTTTTTCTCTCGTATTGAAAATACGTCACGGCTTTGGAAAAACCTATAAACAACGATTCCGAACAACCAACCGGTTTTTTTATTATTTTTCTTTTTATTATTATTATTATTACTAATTAATTACTGTAATTTTTTTTTGTTAATTAAATAAAAAATTTAAATTTCTCTTAAATGAATCGATGTAAAAAAGAAAAAAAACTTACGGAGTATTAAAAAATGATGATGATGATGATGATGGCCTTGATGTTGATATCGAGTTGTAACTTGTTGTTGTTGTTGTTGATTGTGAAGAAACATTTTCGGCGGCGGTTGTCGTTGTTTCACTACCGGCTGGACTAGAATTAACTGGAACTATTAACAATGATTGTGTGACTTGGTAAGAATCGGAAGAACCAACGAGAGGAGGAAGTTTTATATCGGGAAAATAAGGTTTAAGGTGCGATACCGAGGATGTTACGAATGACGGAGGTCTGTTCGTCCACGGTTTACCCATTGGGGGTAATAATTTTTGTGACGTTGTCGACATGGCGGTGATGGTCGACGATGACGCCGACGCCGCCACCGCCGAATCCGTCGTCGTCGTCGTTCTCACGGTCGTAGAAATGATGGGTTCCTTAAACCAATGATTCGTCGACGGTTTTTTTGTCGGATGCGTCACAAATCCGGCTGGTTTCGAAGGTTTATATTTATTTGTATATTGCGGTCTTCCGCCTAACATAAGATTTGGTGGTCTGAAACAAACAAACAAACAAACAAACGAATAATTTTACTGTCGCAGCGACAATCGAAAACAACAATCCTCGCTCGATACTCATTCGACATAAATAATTAAAAAAAAAATAACGACGCCATCTTTTTTTTTTTTATTTAAACGCCGGTGAAACAAACAAACGATCGTTTGTTCATTTCATACAAACACTAAACGTTTAATCAAAGACGAAACAATGTCATAGGAAAGTGAAAGTGTTTTACTTTTGCCGTGAAATTACAACACACACGCACGCACACAAGTTTTTGTTGTTTGTTTATTTGTTTGTTTGTTTGTTTGTTTTTTTTTTTAATACTTTATTAACAACTACCCATACTACCGCCACGTACCTTTCAATAATAATAATAATAATAATACTAACGTTTTATTATTGACAAATCAAATTCAATTTAAAAAAAAAGGAAAATTTTATTTATTTATCAGTATTATTATTATTATTATTATTTTGAACTCGTGAAAACGTCAGAGCGATAAAAATTTCACCTGGAAAATCCACGTGGATTTTAAAACATAAAAAAAAAAAAAATAAATAAAAATATTAAAAAAAAATTGAGAGAATGCGGTTTGGTTGTTGGTTGTTATTTGACATGTGAAATAAATAAACGTTTTTCGTGGAATCAAAACCATTTTCTAAAACCCCGTCAATTTTTTTCCTTTTTTTCCTTTTTTTATCGTGAATCTCTCTTCGACATCGAGAGGGAAGGTGAAACTTTTTTTTTTTTTTCTCCAAAAAATAAACAAAAAAAAAAAAGGAAAATTTTTCAAACTATTTTCCTTTTTCAAAAAATAAAAAAAATAAAACAAGATTTTCCTTTTTTATTTGTTTGTTCGTTTGTTTGTTTATTTATTTATTTTTTCCCGTTGACTTCGATTGGGAAACTCTCTCCTCTCTCTCTCTCTCTCTTTTCAATATTTGAAAGTTAATCCGATTTTTCTTATTCTATTAAAATACAAAATCTTTTTTTTTTTCTCCAAAATATTCTTTCTCCAGTAAAAACTTTTCCAAAAAAAAAATAATAAAAAACCTGATACGGATAATTAAATTATTGGCAAATTTAAAAAAAAAAATTTTCTTTTTGGATGTTGTTTGTTTAAAAAATTTGTTTGTTGTTGTTGTTACTGTAAATTTAAAATTCGATTTGAGTTTACTTTCAAAAAAAAAAAAACCTTATACCTCGTAAGTTAAACATGTGTAAAATTAATTTTCTTACGTGACGATTATTAATTAATATAATTAATTGAAATTTTTTTTTGTTTGCTTCCTGGCGTTCCTGTTGTTTTTTTTGCACGAAACAAACTTAAAAGTGTAATGTAAAAAAAAAAAAATAATTTTTTTTTTTTTTTTTCGTTTGTTATATCGCAAACAAACGCAACAAACAAACGGTTTATATAAAATTAAATTGAAAAACGATTCTTTTTTTTTTTAAAAAAAAAACTTTTTTTTCCATTGTAAAATTACGAAACAATAAAAACAACAACAATCAATAAAAGTTTTTTTTTTTTTTTTTTTCCTAATGAAATTACAATGAAAAGTTTTCACCATTTTTTTTTTTTTTAAAAAAATTTTTTTAAAAGTTTTTTTAAACTTATATGTTGTTATCTTTAAAAACAAACGAACAAACAAACGGGAGAAAGAAAAAAAAAAACAAACATCACCACCACCACCACCAAATGTTTATCGCGTGTTTCCCAGCCGTTTTAATTGTTTTTGTAACATAAAACATATTTACCTTGGACTAGAATAAATATTATTCGAAGTATGTTTTTGTGTTGACTCATGATTGTTATTGTGATTATGATGATGATGATGATGATGCTGCTGCTGCTGCTGTTGATTGTGATGTTGTTGATGATGATGATGATTATTGTGATTGTGCATAGAAGTTGATGACGTCGATGGAATAATTGCATTATGGGTTATGTTGTGAGAGCAACAACTCCCAAACATAAAATTATCAACGCACATTCCAACATGTTTTCCATCTGTTTTTATGCATTCGTAAACGAACATGCAAGTTCCTTCTATTCCATTTACTGAACATGGTTTTGGTTTTATGTGAGCTGGAAATGAAAAAAAATAAAATAAAAAATAAAATAAACATTTTAATATTTTCTTTTTCCTCCCCCAGCCCCCCTTTTCCCTCTTACCCTCCCCGCTCCCGCCCCCTTCCTCACCTCCCTTTTCTTTTTTGTTTTTGTTTAAATTATTTTACACTCAGTTTCTTTTTTTTGTTGTTTTAATAAACAAAACAAACGTTTGTTAATTTTAATATTACAAAAAAACAAAAAAAAAAAAAAACAAAAGAAAACAACATATTTTATGTTGTGTTGTAACATAAACAAACAATTATTTTTAATAATAAAAAAAAAATTAAAATATTAAAAACGTCCTTTCATTATTATCATTATTATTAATAAATAAATAAAAACAAAAAAAAAAAAAAAGAAACTTTTGCCAGCAGAAGACACGGATTGATAATTTAATTAAATCCAATTTCAAAATGAAAATGTCACGGGAAATATAAAAAAAAATAAAAAAAAAAACTCTATAAAAATTCTCTTACTTTTTGATTTTTCAGACTTCGTTTTCCCACCTCACACCCCCACCCCCGTACACGCCCCATTTCACCCTATCGAACCACCTATTTCCGTCACACACACACCCACCCCCACGTACTCCCCCATTAAAAAAAAAAAAAAATTAAAAAAAATTTTCTCGCTCTTTGACGATTTACTTTTTCGTCATAGAATAACAAACAAAAAACACATTCGTTCGATTTCCTTTTTTTATTCGATGATAATAATAATGATAATAATAATGATAATAATAATAATAATAATAATAATAATAATAATAATAATAATGACGCCGGAAATTTTTTTTAATTAATTAAAAATAAAAACGTTCGAATACGCACACACACGCGGGCACGCGAGCGCCAATCAAAATTAATTTTTTTTTTTTACCCCCCTCACCCTGGACAAAATTAATTTTTTTAATTACGTAAAATATCTCATAGAGGTCAACACGATCGCAAATTAAAAAAAAAACGACACGTTAAATAAATAAACTCTATTTAAAAAAAAAAAAAAGGAAACAAAATGAACTTCGTTAGATATATATTTTTCCAGGGCGTCAAATCCGATGATTCGATATCGTGATTTATTATCATTTTATTATTTTTTTTCCAGAGAGTACAACAACAACAACAACAACAAACACACTCTTTCCACCATTTTTATTTTTTTTTCTCCAGGTGTCGAATCGAAATTAATTAAAAAAAAAAAAAAATAATTAATTCAATGGATTCAATTAATTTTTTAAGGTTCGATGAAATTTATAGTAAACGATTTCTCTCTCTCTCTCGTTCTTTTCGCTCTATAAATTTAACCCTCCACTTCACCCCGCCCTCCCACCTCCCCGTATTTATAAACTTTTACTTTTTTTTTTGTTGCCGTCGACGTCGTTTGCATAATTTAAATGAAAACAAAAAAAAAAAAAACAAAAAAAAACAAAAACAAACAAAACGAAAATAAAGTTTCGCTTGTCGCTTCTTTGTGACACAATGTTTACTCTCTCTATCTACCTCTCTCTTCCCTCTATCTCTCTCTCTCTCTTTCCATATATATATATATGCGCATATAATAATAATAACAACGCTATAAAACATTTATTATTAATTTTTTCTCGAACATTTTTTTTTTTTTGTGTTACGATAACTTCCGGCGGCAAAACAACAATTTATGTTGTATGTACATAAAAAAAAAAAAAAAAATTGATTTTGTTATTAATAAATAAATAAATAAATAAATTTAAAATTCAAATTCATTCATTCTTATTTTTAATTAGTATATATTTATTTACTTTATGTAAATTACGTTATGTTTTTTTTTTTTTTTTAGCTTCCCTTTAGAAATATTATCGTAAAAAATTAAAATAATGTAAGAACAAGTGAGTGAGAGAGAGAGAGAGAGAGAGAGAAAGAGAGAGAGAGAGAGAGTGTGAGAGAGAGAGTTTTTAACAAAATTAAACGAAAGAATATAATTAAAAATATAAAAAAAAAAAAAAAAAAACAACCGGAATTGCGATTGTTTTTAATTATTCATTTAATTACTTTATTCATCTTATTAGCGGCCATTTTTTCTTTTCCTTTTTCTTTTTAATGTTATGGAGAATAAAATTAACAAAAAAAAAAAACGTAGAATTTTTTATTTTATGCGGGAGAAAAGAACAAATGATTAAAATTAATATTAATAATAATGATAATAACAAGTCATGGGAAGAGATAAAAATAACACGTGGACAATACGTGTAAAAAGTAAACGTTTATGACTGACGTGAATAAGAAAAGAACGCATGAGTGACGCGTGGGAAATCGCAAAATAAAAAACCGGAAGCGTTAAGATAAAGTCCTACTGACTCACTATTACGATTCTCTAAAAATCAGGTTGGGTGTAAAATTGTGCAATCGCTTTTCCGTATCCGGTTACGACGGTAAAATCGTGACTGACGAAACTGTGTCAGATATTAAAAGTATCAACCCTAGCGGTGGAAAACGATACGGACAAACACATCGTACGATTCTTCGAATTCGAAGAGTTAAACCGGAAGTGATCGTCGTGGAAGTAGCAATTTGCAAAAGGAAAATTCAAAGAAGAAACCACGTGCAAAAAAAAAGTCGTTTTGTGTAAAATGTTTCTTCGCGTTCTTCGACGGCACCCCCCATATTAAAACAATTATTTTCCGGAAATGAAACCTGGAAAAATGCTGGAAAACTTTTCACAGAAACTCCCAAAAACTGATAGTAATAATAATAATAATAATAATAATAATAATAATAATAATAATAATAATAATAATAATAATAATAATAATAAATATTTAAAAAAATAAAACGAAGACAAACCGAGCTGTGAATTTTCGTACGCGAAAAAAAAAAAAGTGATGAATGGGGGGTCGAGTGTGAGTGGTGGGGGGAAGAGAGAGAGGGGGGAAAAGCGAAAAAAAATCCCCCGTCAACCCGCATTTTCATTTTATATATAACAAACAATAAATAACCCCCCTCTCTTTTTCTCCCCTCGCCAAAAAAGAAAAAGAAAAAAAAAATGTAGTCATTTACTAACCTCTTTCCACACCCATCCGATGAGTTATTGTTGGAGATGGTGCCCAAATTAAAATGGCACCAACCACTAAAACCCAGAGCATAATTTTTCCCCTGGAAAAACAAAAAAATAAATTTTTTTTTTATTAAAAAATGTGATGAAAATTTTGTTTAATAAATGTATAATAACAAGTCACTACCAACTTTTCGTTAGTGACACGTTAATAAATAAATATATCTTTAAATCTAAATTTTTCGTGTCTTTAAAATTTTCTCCAGACACTTTTCCAGCTCGCGCACACGCACACGAAAAGGTGAGGTGATAAAGTGATTACGATTAATGATAACGAATTAAAATCACAAATATAACAACTACTACCGTATGCGTGATTATAAATTAACATTTAGTAAATCGTGGCATTAATTTTGTCGACGTATTATCATTATCATTATTATTATCATCATTATTATTATTAGCAGCAGTACTGGAGCGTTGAAAATCATTGCACAATTTTAATTATCGTCATTTTCGTTCGTAATTTTAATTCCTTCTATAATCCGGATTATGTTAGTTAATTTATTTTATTTTTCTACAGAATTACGTCGTCTACTTTTTTTTTTTTTTCGTGGAATAAGAAAAAAACCCTTCGGTGTTAAGTAATTTGGGTAAATAATTTTCTAATTCGGTATATCCGGTTACGAAAACAGGAAACAGTTAGATGAGTTGGTGCGGAGGGGGGGAGGGAAAAGAGGGAGAAAAGGGAAAAACGTTCGAATTAACAAAAATTCAATAATAATTTTTTTCTTTTGGAGGTTTGTGACGTCATCATCATACATTGATGATTCCGAAAACGAAAAAACGCGCGTAAAATTTAAAAATTCAAAAAGATATATCATTATTATTATTATTATTCGATTCGATTTTGACGCGTTCATTGTTACCCGATTTTTTTTTTTTTTTTATATAACGGTAAGAACAACGGAAGTGTCTTGTTGTTGCAACGTTTAAGTAGATGAGTTGTTGGTACTCGTGTAACAAACCCGACAAACAACTCGCAACAACCAATCGATAGAAATTGAAAAAAAAAAAAAAAATTTCGAACATAAAATAACGAACGAAATTTTTTTTTAAAAATCTTTTCTTTAATCTTTTAATCCTGGACAAAAAAAAAAATTTTTTTTGTTTTGTTTCTTGTTTGTCCAGGCTGGAAAAATCATTAAATAAAAATTTTTTATTGGTGATAATAATTCGACAGTGCGTGCAACAGTGCGTGCAACAGTACGAGCAACAGTGCGTGCAACAAACAGTGCGTGCAACAATACGTGCAACAAGACGAGCAACAAGACGAAAAACACATGAATTCGTCACGTTTCTTAAAAAAATTCGGTCAATTACAAAAACAAAAACCTTTAATCGAAACATCATTTAATTCCACGACCGTTTTGATAAATTTGTGACGTCATCATTCGTTTATTTCCACGTCGAAAATTATTTTTAATTCGCGATCGCGAATTGGAAAGAGAGAAAAAAAAACCGTTTTCCAGTATATATATCGGAGGGAAATAAATTTTTTTTTATTCAAACACGTCTTTTAAATTTCATAATGTTTGACTTATGATAAATATCCTACTTCTTTCCCTTCCTCACCTCACCTCACCTTACTCCCCCCCCCATTTCCCTCGCCGAATCCCAACAACGTCCTTTTTCTTTTCATCCATTTCCTCGTTCTCGAACATTCCGAGTAAAAAAAGATTTAATTAAATGACGAAGATTTATTTCTAACTTAAGAGCACGTGAAAAAAAAAAAAAAAAATTTCCTTCTTTTTTTCCTCTCTTTCACCCTCCTCTCTCTTCCCCTCCCCTCGTTTTTTTCTCCCTTCAACAACCTCAAGATTTATTTGTGAGAGC